ACTATTGAAGATTTGCACAATAGAATGAAACGGCCATCTAGTGTTTCCAGGTTCTCCATAGTGATCTAACTTCAATTGATTCATGAATTCAGCTATTAAAAAATTACTACAATATGCTATAAAACCCCTTCTGAAATTAAGAATGTGGTTTATAAAGATAGAATGGAATGGTATATATAAAGGAATATTGGTGCACAAGATGTATTTTCCCCGTTATGAGCAATTCTTAATCATGTTGCCTAATGTTTCAAACAATTGACTGTGGTTTTCGTGTATACACCTCATACATGTAGTCTAGATCTATCAATATGGATGAGATCAACAGTGAATGATTTTATGGTTGGTTGCAATGTTTTGGCTTGACACTCTTAGCTTTCAACTCACTCCTACATCAGTCAACAATGCCTATTGAGGCAAGAAAAAAGATAGTTAACTGAAATATAATTTTTTTTTAAATAAACCCTTAGTCACTAAACTAGAGATTCTTTTATCAACTTAATGTTAAATCGTAATAATAATAATTGTTATATCCTAGAGAACATTAAATTACGAGTAACTTCTGAGAACTATTAATGGGCTAATATTATACGCATATTCCTAATGTATAATTATTCAGTAATTATATTATGTATATCTATATTCCTCTTATTATAAGCTTCATTTTGATTTATAGATCATTATTATACAATTAACTGTTCTTAAGTTATATTCCGTTTATTAATTATAGTCTCCCATGTTCACAGCCATTTTTTGGCTTCATCTTGTACAAATGTCATTTCCTATTGTATGGTGTGATGTAGTCTGTCTGTCTGGCATATAAACCGAGTATGTTCGAAATAAAACTCCTCCTGGAGTCCCTCTGGGGGTTAGTGCCGGTCCCGAGCCCGGATAAAGGAGGAGGGTTGAGCATGGGGTTAGCGAACCAATCCCGTAGAAAACTAACTCACTAAAAAAACGCTAACCAGAAAAAATTATTCGAACCTTTTAAACTCATAAAGAAAGCTGAATTCCTTCGGAATTTACGAGGCCGATGCCCCTTCTGACAACCAGAGCAACCATTTATTTAGGTACATGGAATGTTCGTACAATGTGGGATACTGGGAGAGCCTTCCAAAATGTTCGAAATAAATGATTCGCATAGTGGAAGCTGTTATGGATGTTCTGGACACAAGTGGACGGGCTAGGCGAATAAAGGACCAATAAGGACGCTGGGATGCTCATACCGGTGGAATATCCATTCTAGCACAATACTAAGATTGAATAAGTTGTATTTCGATTGGCGAATAAATTATGTGATAACTAGCCTGGCTAAAGGTCACAACAATAATAATATTTACTTTACTCAATTCCATAAATTTTGTCACAGTAAGAAATTCTCAACACCAGTTGTGCAATATTTCAACAAGTTCCGCTTTAACATACGTTCACATCATGACTATTCAGTGAGATAAAAATTTGTAACAGTCAACATCTGCCACTCGTCTTCAATCGTGTAAGCTTTATATCTGCCATAACTATCTTTCCTATTCATCATGTATAAAATGCACATATTCTAATATATTCGTATCTCGTTTTTTTTGCAAAGGACAAACAAGGAGAGAGATATACCAGTAAATTTTGTATTTGAGTTTTCCAGTGCTTAGTATTGTAATAATTTGTAATGCTTTTATTATAAGCACGTAAGTACAAACGGTTAGTATTCATCAGTATTTAGTTCAAAAATTAACTAATATTTGCTGTTGGAAAATGGGTACATTTAACTAGATCTTCACCATACAATATCTGTCAACCAAACAACTATACTGAATACTACTAATAATAATATGCTCACCAATAACTAGCCACAAGATAGAATTCCTAAAAGTCTAGTGAGAACTTCTGACCAGTAGAATTTAATCAATTTTAATATGAGGGAAGATGGTTATGGAATATCGTGAATTAATTTATGTAAGAAATATACAATATGGGGAGCGGCTCAGTGATCTGGAGGTTAGTCATTGGCATACGAAAATGGACATCCTGAATTCGGTCTCATGTGGCAAGGCCGTTAATGTACACTGACAAGGAGTCCCAAACTAGAATAAGACAGTTGCCTAGTGCTTCCTAGTTTACAGTGGTGGTCTGGCTAAGGTTACTTCGTGGTTTAAACCGAAAATTCTACGATCTAGACAACCCCCTTTCTGTACTAATTATACTGAGTGAACTAGTATCTGTTGTGACTTAAACATCGAGTGGCTGAACCAATAAATTCCGTACTAAATGAATACCTTTTTTTAAAAAACAGGACCTAATGACCGAGAATATGAGTGGAGTGTCGCTAACATGAGCGTCTTTTCGGATTTGAAACTCATCATTCGTATTTACACGGTCGAAAAATTCAGTCAAAATATTAACAACGGGATAATTCAAACTGTTATAAATTAAATCAACTCAAATCTATGTTATGACCTACTTTGTACGAATCTGTTAAATATTTCTAAAAACGACTAACATATTTACGTTTATCTTTGGCCTACAATACTTGTATATCCAGGAATGACTGAGCTATTCAAATGCAAACGGTTCTGGGGCGGACTCGAGAACAGTAGTTGACGTAATCATGTGATCACTGGAGCGAAATCACGGACATATATCACTAAGAAATAGAGACGATTTAGTCGCTCATCAAATTTCAATTAGTACATGACAGTGAGTCCTGAAATATAATGCATAAAAGACAAGTAATTTTACTGCCTTGATAAAAACAAAATTCGGTTATGTATTGAGCCTATATCTGAAACAATGACTTAATAATACAGAAATTAATGTACTGAAGACTTTTCTTAACTGAATATACATATTCACATCAATTTTTTAGCAATGGGTAATATTCAGTGTTTAAGGATCAGTCACATTTATTCGTTTAAATTTTAGACTGACTGTTATCATCAATTAGCCACTATGAACAGTTCCAGTGAAGCACCGCTGTGTATGGTGAATGAAAACCACGAATATATCCGAAGCTGGAGGCTGAAATATTTTTAATGAAAACTATACCTTAATATGTATTATTATTATTAATAGTACTCACACACCAGATTGACATAACAAACAACCGACAAACTTAAAGGAAGTTGTGGATTTTCTCAGTCGTCTTAACACTGATCCAATTCAAAATGACTAACTTGTGCAAGTTGAAAGAAATTTTCAACATCACATATGGACATGACGTCGGTATTGCATATATAACTGGTCTTTTGATATTAATTTGTTTGGGGTCAGTAATCAAGTCTCGTGAATTATTATTAGTCTCATTGAAAATTCCAACTTACATTTGATTATTCTTATGAGTTGTGAATTTCTATTAGTGTAAAATAACCACAGTTCGAAGACATTCTCAATATGAAATTGGGACATGACATCGGTCAACCATAATAACAAGAAATGATATTCTGAATAGGTATGTGAATAACCTGACAAATTGAACCTATTTAGTACAAATCTCAATGGAGTAGAAATTTCTCATTTCCTATTTTTCGACTCTACATTCAAGTCTTACAGTCTACTAACCAACATTCTCTAACATCAATATTTCATAACTATGAACTCAGAAAAGTGATAATCCATTGTGTTATGTTTCATTTATCGATGTTTTCAATACTGTTAGTGTAAGCTCAGCAGGTTTTAACTAACCAATCTAATGACACCACAGAAAATCTTCAACTAATACTGACGCAACAGCTGTCGATTTTTCCCAGTGATACTATTCAAATTAGATTTAATGAGAAGATTTTTCATGAATAATTTTCATCACTCGTAAGTGAAAATCTTTATTCGGTCAAAAAACATTGACTTACCGAGTGATTACTACAAAAACAAAATTATGCAAACATCTCTAAAAGCCTTGAAACTGTGCGGTTAGTTGGTCGGTGCGCATTCGAAATATTAAAATGAATTCATCATAGTCTGATCATTGAGGCTTTCAACTATCGCTTCGTTGAAATTCAGAACTCGATTTCCGATGACATAAACACTACAGCCATTTAAAAATGTTACTTGGATTCAGTAACTCAGTGGATCATTCGCTCTTTTAAAAAAAGGTGCTAAATTTCAGCTTCAATGTGACGGACACATCCACCTGACCAGCCCGAAGTCACACCAAACATATATCGCCGATTACACTACTACTCATAATCTAACTATTCGAAAGGAAAATTGTGTTCTATTAACGTTTATTGATTTCCTAATTCATTTTGTAGATTCCAGTTTCACGTCTCACATATAACTAGATAAACTCCATTGATTTACGCATCATTTAGAATATTTTCGTATTCACATTATGGTTACCATTCAATCTGACTGAAAATATTGTTTATTCATAGCAAACATCTACGCTACGCAAGTCCATCCTTCTTTGAAATAATCAAATGAGAGTCAAATACGCTATTTTCAATCAAACTTCTAATCGATTATCATCACTTTCAATTCTGGCACACTTTCTTTATGTATGTCAGAGTCTGTGTATTTTTATTGACCTCATTAAAAATTAAGTTGGTCTATAAGAATTAATTGAACAATTATTAACAATATCAACTGATTACTAAATCAATCCAAACATCTTACAGGGTAATTGATTCACTATCATAATAATCTCTGTTTTAATTAGTATAGAACACTGTAGAAGAACCTTGATCATCATACACTTTATACAATTATTAATACGCACCCACGATCCCACACCCGCGGGATTAACAACCCACGACCTACTGGGTTCGCGCGCGAGCACTTCACCATTAGACCACTAAGCATGCATTCAACGATGTCAATGTCTAACTTCAACCAATCCAAGAAGTTGCGCCACCGTATACCATTGTCTTCAGTGACCTGATATCTCACAACAGACCTGGTTGAACACCACTTTTAACGGCTTCCCATTAGAACTACAGTTTATCTTTCAAATGTCACACTATCATAATAATCTCTGTTTTAATTAGTATAGAACACTGTAGAAGAACCTTATTCATTATACTCTTTATACAATTATTAATGCAACGAAGAATTCACGAGAAATAATAAGCATCATTCAAACAATTAACTACGACAAATTATTAAATATCAAAAAATCAATAATCAATTAATATTGTGATATCATCTAACTGTCAATCTAAAATCCGCTAATCTCACTCAACATTATATAACAACATCAATCTATTCATTATTCATTTTCATCATACTAAATTCTCATGTAATAAACACAATCACACTGCTTACAATGAATCACCAATCTCACTCACTCACATCAAACATCATTCCACCTTCAACAACTATCCCAATATCACAGTCAGTATTCTTCAAAGAAACAATCTAACCAATCAAATGTCAGTCACATATACACACGCTGAACACTTGAAAGTGTCCACAAAGTAATCAACAAAAGATAAATAAGTACTCGATAAAATAAAAATGCAGCGAAACAAAAGAAAAAACAAGGTTTCTGATCACAATTCCTCAACACTGGAACCACAACGGGCAACACGGCCATGCCCGTCTGTTTATCCATAATATATGTGAGTGTGAGAGTGTACGTGTCTGTGTCCATATATAAATGCATGTATGTAGGTGTGTATGCATGCTTTAGCACCATATGTGTACAATTACATAGTTGAATAGTTGGATATGCACGCATTATATACAAACACATAGGAACTCGATACAGCAAACAACATACATACACAGTTAGATAGATAAATAAATAGAGAGATAGAGTGCGAGCGGGGGAATGATGCGTACATTCATACACAGGTCAAATAAGACTCCTCATTCCGCTCAGTCAATGCACTGTTCAACAAATTCAAATAAACGACGACCGTAGAATTCCGGTTTCACAGAACCACCATCAGCACCATGTTTCACTGTTTTGTAAGTTTGCGCTGTACGTTTACGCATCCCATAACGAGTCAGTATGTCGATAATAGCCACAAAATAGATCAGTGGATGAGGAGAATCTGTCAAACAACAAGGAAAACAAGATAACACAGCAACATAATCCATATGAGTAGCAACATATTTCATCAATATATATATGTATATATAAAAAATCTTTACTATTGAAACAATGTCTGTCGTTCACGCACTCCACTCAAGCATCAGTCATTCAAACGACTTCCTTCCAATGAAACTTCATAAACCTACATCTTCAATGACGTGTACCGTGTGCATGTGTACATTTATTCAAAAACAAACTGTTATGATAAACACAAATATCAGAGAACAATCGGATGAATACACATGGCAAAATATTGAATAGTCTACATCTAGAATCTCCTCGTGTCTACCTATTACACTGGATTTTGAGGAGTGCACAAAGCAGTCTCCATGCTGCTAATGTCTCATCTGTCCCCCTTTTACAACATTAACCGACCATAACTGATGCCTCAATGCGATGACCATGTTTCTTTAGTGTGATGACACAATCGAACTGTGTTGGTTCGGACAATTGTTCCACTACCACTCACTCTCCTATTCCATACAAGTTGGTTGCACCGTCATTAAATTTATCGGGCTAATAAAAAAACCTGCCGATTTCTACCGTACACCATACTGATCCAGTCAGTCTCACTGAAAATGTTCACATTTCACACACAGGTTTGGTAGAAACGAGAATTAATGCTCCACACACACACACACACATACAACTTTAAACATCATCTATTTCATCGCAATAATACAAACACAAAATATCCTCTTACCAATTGAACTTTTGATTCCATAATGTTCTAAAGTAGGATGCAATTCACCTGAGAATAATTGAGGTAGACATTCTGCACCAGGTGGACTATCGGGTGGGGTCAATTCACCTGAAACGAACAACACAGAAAATGTATACAAAGAGAACCAAATCAACTATTGAACTGCATCTTCGTCTATCTTCAATTCTTTACATACAATCAAACAAACACTAGTCCATCCGCGTGATGCGCAATACGATCACCCATTCATGAACATACAGTACATCATCCCACATGCATGCATTCATATCAATCCGACTCACTACAGCTCAACTCTCATCAGCATTGTCAAAATGGAAGTAAACAAGATGAGCAACAGACAAACGGAACTACAAGTATTCTCAGAAACAACCGAACAGATCACCGAGATCCCGATATCAAGATCGACTTTCAGTCGCACAATATGATCCCTCAGCTGACCACAAGCATGAATGGCCGAAACCAAGTCAGTTCAACTGCGCATTACGACCACTAAGCGAGCATCAACTACTGAGTCTACAATCAACCCCACACAGGTCACTTCAACAGTCACTGACTTCATGTATCAAGCAATCTCATCACTTCGTTTACCTACCATTCCTATCCATCTAATCCAATCTAATCTATCTATCCATCTACCTTTCTACGTACCTTTCTTCCAATGTCAGGCATCGTTGTACGCACTGGATACACATAGGTTGACATCAAGGCCACTTGAAATCATCAACAGTAGAACAAGATACAAATTATAGTACGAATAATACATCAACACACAACACATCCAGGTCATCATACATGCACAACTACACACACATACACACTGACAGTATGGAAGGTGAGAGAACCACCGAGTCATTCCACTTCAGTTGGAAGGAAATACCTCATAAGCATTGTCTATTTCGAGTGATTAGACAAATTCAGTGTAAAACATTACCAAACAACATCTCTCACCGGGAGAGATATGCGCACACCCATTCCAAAATAATAATAAAAAAACAAACAATTATCACTTCACAATAGTAATAACATCTCACTGCAATCAGTCTTAAAATGAATTCTCATCAAATGTACGTATACACGTGTGCAGCATTGTTTGTTCAATCATGCATCCATCACACTAAACACACACACACACACACTCAGGAAAATCAGCTGAGAACTTCACCATTTGCAATCAACTCATTGTACAATTCGCATAAACATACAATGTCATTTGTGATTGATCAACACTCAAAGTTATTCACACAACTCAGCATTCAACAACACAAACCAGTCAGACAGTCAGTCAGTCGATGAAATCCAATTACAATTATAATGTTAATTAATGCTAAGACACAGTAGTAAGTCGAATTGAACTCTCTAACAACAAATGCAATAACACAAGAATAACAATATCACACATACTTGTAGGGACTTGTGTATTGTTCTCTGGTATACTGATCCCGTCCTCCTCTTCATCGTCATCATCACCTGTGCTCGCATTCCCAGTAACAACACCAACACCACAACTAGCAGCCTCGGCAGCTGCTGACGAGCTCAGACCAAGCACAATACTCGATCTAGCCATCGACAAACGACCACATTGCCATTGTGAGCTAAGTGTTCCTAGACCGTCACCTGCAGACACCATCCTATCATCGAAGCCTCGACTGTTAGGCTCCAACACACCACCACCACCACCACCAGTACCTTCACCGTCATCACCAGCATCCTCAATTGAATTAGCCAATGCAATCTCAGGATTATGCACTCCAATAAGAAGGCTGTAGTCGATCAAATTGTTCTCCTGTAAGAACTGTCATGAGGCAAAAAACAAAAACAAACAAGCACAATCACAACATTGTGCATCACTAAGTAATCCAATACATCCATGGCGAAGGTCTACCACAAACCAGAGGGAGACATCAACAATCAAATGCACATCATGTCAATTCATTCACTCAATACATTGATTACCTATTCAACCAACTCCTATTCAGTATGACACAAATCAGTCGTTCGACACTTGCTACTCAGATATCATTTCATAATATACACTGCACTAATGATACAACACTGATCACTGTTCAAATACAATCGTTGCTCATTCATGTTTCGAGCAATAATCAAAAGTCACAGTTAGTTACCAAAACAAGATTATGGAAAAACTGTTTATCACTAACTCAATGATAAACTACTGTCCATTTATTATCAGAACACATAGTTCGGTCGCCATCTTTACCAAGTATCACATTCTTAACACAGGAATCACTTACTCGGTCCTCCCAAAGTACACCAGCAATGCTTCCAAGACGCCTACAACCAAATACTGGAACCTAAGAATACCCTCTATTCTTAATGGTCGTATTTCACGACCGTAAAGTCTCCAACTCCCCTAGGTAGATCCTTCATAACCACAACAAGGTTAAGGCGCCGGACATTCGCCTTTCATCCTCTCAATTTCGTAAATAACACCCGCGCCACGACAAGGCAGTGAGTAGCACTTCCATGGTAGTGGTTGTAAGCACGCGACCATGTGACAGCGTTTCGAGAGGAAGAGTGGATTCTACCCACTCTCGTCGTACCAGCGCAATTAGGGGCCGTCTCCGTAGGTGACGTAGGTTGGCAAAAACCAAACAATCTTCTTCAATCCGCAATCGAAAGTGTTACGCAGTATAACAAACACGATTTAGAACTAAATAAAATGTCCAGACAACTTAACTGTTTCACAACGCAGAATACGACATACAAATATCTAGCTCACATTAAAAGTAAATTACAACGGTACAACAACACTGAACACAATGTAGATACGCGCTATTCACTAATTCAATAATTCATACGTTAGCAATGAAGATTCAAGGTGTAGGTGTAGACAGTAGTAACACATCACACCATGTGTTAAAACAAAACAGTACTCCTTGTAGTGTTACCGCATCACATGTTTCCTTCATGTGATGCATGCAGATTAGCATAGGAATTGCGGAAACACAAACAACCACAACAATAAGAAGGAGAGAAGCGAACTTTTCAAGGTCTAGCTAAAAAAATATTGATAAAACTATGTACACATCATTAGCGAAAAGAGGCGAAAAAATACAGAGTAGAAAATAAAATGTCAAGTTCATTCTCATCTTTCGATGTAATAAAAAGAACAACAGAACAATAAGAGAAAATTAATTGATAATTAGAAGACACAAAAAGGACATAAAGAACTCAAAAGCTCAAACTTTCAGGAACAGATAACCAGTAGATGCATTTGGGCCATCACAAATGTTTTCCAGCCACGCCATTCAAAGTATATGACCATTTGTTACAATGACCATATGGCCCTAACCAGTTAGTCTGCACCAGTTCACATGGCTCAGTCCAATTGTTAACAACTTCATGGACTGATGCCATGTTTTGGTTTGTCGACTTCTAACTTTCTTCCATACTATTCCTACACCACACAATATCGTCCGTTGAGATCGGTGGTGACTGAGCACACGTAACACATGTCCCAACCACCCCAGTCGATGAAGAAAGCTAACGCAAAGTTCGGTCTCCACCTTTACCTAGTACCATATTTTTAACACAGAAATCACTTACTCGGTCCTCCCAAAATACACCAGCGATCCTTCCAAGACACCGACAACCAAATGCTAAGAACCTAAGAATACACCCTATTCTTTAATGGTCGGACGCCTCGAACAACCATTAACGCTAACATTTTGGACACTACATTAGTTAAACCGGTTTCTTTGTGATTGTCACAAGTAAAACAAAGGCCAGTTGAACTGATCCCTAAAGTGTTCCGTCAACCGATCCAATCTGCTGAACTGAGAGTCAATAGTAATCCCAGTTTTACCGGCCTAGTCACACTAATAGATGGATTTTTAATACACACCACCTTGGTAGGTCTGAACAGTTATGTACTGTTACCTATCGACAATGCCTTTTTCATCTCTTACGCTTTCACTACTCACTCACTACTGCTCATAATCATACTCAATATGCACAGTGAATACGAATATGCTCATGAGATTTGCATACACTGGCACAAAATTCTCACCTCTTCTACTGCATTAAGTTATATGAAATATACTAAGCAAATCTCATCAGGGTCATGTACGAAGTAAATGGTTTGTCTGACGGCCAAATGTTTTACAAACGACAAATATCACCATACTATGGATTAATAATAACACGTAACGATAACCAGCATACTGTACTCTCGAATCACAATAACTGTAAATATCTTCAATAGGAAACTCCCATCAAACAACACTAAAGAAGAAAATGTCATAATTATGACACAGTAAAATCAACTAGTCACATGAAAGTGAGGGGAATAACTATGATTATGACTATGACGAAGATTAGAGTGGTGATAAAGATGGCACAGTCGATTGTAGGAAAGTGCATCCAAGTGTGGAATTCATTGTCAAGAACAAAGTAAAACATATTCTCAACATCTGTGAAATTTCGATTCTTTCTTAAGTACCAATGACATGACTACTTCAAGAGTACACAAGCACTACATGTGATCTTGTCTTACTGAAAGTAACCATTTAAATGTGAAACTGTCACACCACTACCAATCATAAACTCTACACACTTCCCAACAGAATATGGACACACGGTCAGTCAGTGTTCCTATTCATTCACTTCACAATTACGACTCATTTCCAAATGGCAGTATACACAGAATATAACTGCAATACACCTTCGAAAATCTGTCACATACTTGAAAAATCAATCTACACAAAACCGACAACATAATGGTTAAACACATGCATCATGCACTCAACCAATCAATCAATCAATGAAACAAGCAAGCAAGCACCTACTTGTATATCACATTCCAGAGTACTTAACATCTTCTTTTTAGACTCTTCACCAATATGCATTTTGCACAAATCTGTTAGAAAATCTGCATCTTTCAGAGTTGGCAAGGGCTTCGACTATACAAATAGTAAAAACACAGAACAATTAATACACAGTCAAGTGAAACAAGTCAACGTATGAGTGATTCACACTTACTTCGATCATTTAGTCTTGGTAGTCAATATGATTACGCACACAAACGATTGGTGTAGCTACTTCACTTATTACTCTCCCGAACAAACAAAACTTTTCGTAACTTCATAATGAAAACCTACCCAACTTACAAACATCGGTAACTCACACGCATCCCAGTGATTCATGTCAAACCAGACTACAACTCTTTCATAGTTGACAATATGTGAAAATATTGAAGACTGAAATGTCGACGGTCAATTAAAGTTGAGAAAACTCTAACACTTTGCTAAGTAATGTCTGATATGACTACAGGGAACATTCACACTTACAGTAGAGAAGCCTTCTAAGCAAGACACATCTCGTCTTCAATAGATGTCAACATACTCAGTCAATATCGACATCTCCACAGATTACTCAGTCGATGTCAATACTAACTTTCCAGAAGTTGTCCATTATCCTCATCAACTATTCTCAGTTCATATAAAACCACACATGATCAGATGAAACATTATAACACTATCTTATGTGACATCTACACGGTGGTGATGAACTCGAACGCAGATGATGTGCCCAAATTCATTTCTAATTATCAAGTTCTTCGAGCAACAAAGTCAAACCAATTCGAGATTCTACAAGGACCGATTGACATTAGATAATGATAATAGAGTACACACAATATCATCGCTAAGAAGTCTCTCCTTTCGGCAAAACGATTAAGAGGAAAAGATTCGCAATTCCACATCAACTGAAGGGACTGCGTTTCTTCTCTGTCGTCTACAACAACAAACGACAACTCAGTCACCTCAACTGTCCTCTCTTCGAAAACACATCGCAACCTGCTGTTCACTACCTTCACACGATGCTCATCACACTAAAATATTTACAACTTTCAATAATGGTACCAAAACAGGATACATTCTATGCTTCATTATACAAATTCAACAATTAGATTTTACTGGTAATTTGTACATTTCTACTTTGTTTACACTCAATCACTGAACAAAATAATTGCTATCACAAAAATAAAAACAAAAAAAAACAAAATTCAATTCAATACACATGATAATCATTCACAATGGTGATAGATTAAAAGAATCAGGGGGAGAGACAATACCAATATTTTTGTTTAAATGCACAAATCCAAACACACGAGCACCTTGAAATGAAGCGACACAAGGAGGGGAACAATGGCGTTAAGGAGGAAACAGGTGGTGCACAAATGTTACAAAGTACACAAGAACAACAACAGCAACATAATACGCTGTCTAACTATAGTCAGAGAAAGATGTACACAACAATACGGCATGTACAGTGAAAGCATGATATTATGCACAATAATCATATATTTACACGAAGTTTTGTACAATCAAAATGCAGCACAGCAAATATCGTTGTTGTAAGTAGGAGATAAATAAATTCAATGTACTTATGACCATTGTGGCAGTAATACCGACAGTTGACAGATAAAACTACTACTACAAGCCAACATGATGATAGCGATGATAATTACTGCCAATCATAAATTGAAACTATTTGTCACCTATTTTATACAACTGGATCAACTGAATTTATCTAACAAGAGTAACAAGAAATGTAATCGATCAGTTGAATGAGTGGCAAAATCATCAGACAGTAGCCACACACAACAACCTTAGATAACAGATAGTGTTTATGGCTGACGAGTCATCATTGAACAAATTGTCTTTGCTTCATAACAGACATCGACGCGATTCTGTATTTCACTTTCGTGTAAATAGTAAATTAGTGGTTGGTTTGAGCCTCTAAACAGACGGTCTAGTAAGAGCTCACACGACTACGTTAACATGATCCCGTTTATATCACTATAAATCTGAGTTGGGAAATTCTTATACTAACCATATCGTTCTCACTTACACTTCACCACTCGTTAGTTTTTTAATGAACCATGACTATGTCTACCTTATCTGAACTATACCGACTAAACATCTGGCTTACTAGTCCACAAGATAATGCCATCTTCCAACTAAACCCACTGCATTCTCGACAGTCGGACAGTACCCTTGGGTAATACTCAAGATGCGTGACCACAGTGTTTTACCGAAACATGGATGTAATCAATCAGATAAATTCGCATAAATCATCAGTGGTTCTCTTTTAATTCTGACTTTTATTTCCTGCGCATAAATCTATACTTGTATGTGGACTTATGACATTAACCATGCAACAATTATAGAACATTATGAATTTTAAACTCGAAGGAATGTTTCATGTCCTTAACAAAGCCACATATACATATAAACACATTCATAGAAATTATTCTATCTGTACAAACTCATTTCACATCATACTAATTTTAGTTATTACATATTCAATTGTCATTGGTCGATATGAATAAGACCTAGTACTACGCAATCAATAATTCCAGAATGTACCGACTATACAGCAAACACTAGAGACTAACTACGCAACAGACAGAGACATCATACATCATCATTTCATTGCTCAATGTCTTCATCTTAGAAATAATCCACAAAACCATGCAGCCCATAGATAAAACCTCCTCTTCTATAAAGTCAATTTTAGTTTAGAAAATGACTACCTTACATTCAGTCCTGAGAATGACACATGATGATAGAAAAGCTATTGATAACAACTCCTCTAACAATCTTTAACCAAATATTCAGTCAGTAGACTTCGAGCAGTCTGCAAATAGGAATCACATACAATCTCTTTATTGTACAGCACTAAACTCTGTCAGACACAGGCTCCGACATCATAAGCTATTTTCTTGCTGAATAAAACTTCAAAACCTATAACATGCAAAGCAATGTCACATGCCAAGAAACATTTTTTCACATACATTTAACAATATAATCTGATAATGCATAATTTCAAATTGTACAACTACATCGTATTGGAGAAGGTGAATGGCAATTAATTGACGATTATAGACAGTCAGACAGAAACATCCGTACTGCAATAAACACATTTCATAGTCTCTGTATTCGTCATTATATATAGTTTGCTCACGTCTAAACAGTGTTTCTGATCGGCTTTTGGTTGGAGTGTGAGTAAGTAGTTGTGTGGTTAGGTTTATAGCGCTAAGCGAATGAGACACCCTCAACACTTAAGAAAGCATTATTTCCTGAGGTAGTTATCATAATACAAATTTACCAACTACTACTCATACACAAGTTGTCCAAGTATTATTTAATACTTGAAATCCATAAGATATGGTACTTGGTAGCATAGCATATCGATCAAACCAACCACCACCACAACTATGTGTACACTATACTTACCGGGTAGAATAGATAAAAACAAAATGTTTTCATGACACCATGTCTAGAAGTTTATCACAGCAAACATTCAACTACAACGCGTAGACGTGTGTTTCAGATGTCTCATGCTGACAACCACATAGCAACAGAGAAAGCGAGTAATCACAAATCTGCCTAACACACTGAAAACAAATGCACAAACACATTCCACGCAAACACGGAAATTGACTGATATCACAGTGAAAAAGATCACGAACACAACGATGATAATGACGAGGGGAAAGAAAATGATGTGAGCTCACCTTCTCCTTTTCGTTGGCTTCACGATCCACAGCTGAACCCTAATTACGAGGATAAGGATACAGTGTATGGACGATTAACTCAACACGTTTCCGGGTAACACTAGGCAAAACGACACACGTTAGATGATGAGTACAGTCCGAAAATAATGGTCGAGACAGGTGAATGATTACCATTACTGTTGTGTCCCAAAAAGAATAATGAGTGGTAGGTTTTTGGGATCTATTTGTGGATCAATACTATACGTATATTTTTATCGTACGATGTGGTCTGCTTGACCGGTATATAAACAGAGTATGTTTGAAATACATAATTCATATTGCAGAGGCTGAGATTGGCGTTCTGGACTTAACTGGCTGAGCTAGGCGGAAAGTAGGAACAATCTGAACTCTAGGCTGCTCGTGTGTTTTGCGCGTCCTTGATCCGATCGACAGTTCGCTACTCCTGATTGGCGGCTTTGGGCTATAACAACTGCAGTGACAAAAACAGTAGTTAGCACCTACGTTCATGAGAAGTTACATACGAATCCAACTAATTATTTTGATGGAGTTTTGTTCTCTGAGCTGGATGGTTTCGTCGTGGAGCTTTCATCGTTCTTCTGAACGACATCATCAGCACAAACTTCAGAGAAAAAACTCCATCAAAATCATCCACCTGAGCTACAAATCTTCTCCACTATCTCAAAACTAATTATTACTTCAACGTTTTCACCAAAAGCAGAATTATCTACACAAGGAAGGTAACCGTGTGAAAATGCTATTGATAGGTATCTATTTAAAACGCATCTGTGACTGTTTGCCAGAATATTCTAATAAGCAAACCATATGGAAATATGAAAGTTGTTTCAACAATGAGTCCAATGCACCTCTAACGGGTACAACGTGTCTGTCTGTATGTTTGCCTCGAAGTCAAACTCACTGTATGACAGTAAAACTAACATCTGGATAGCACAGCCAACGTGGGACAGGATTTATAATTGAGATCTAATGGTTGAATGCCAAACATAAAACCCGTTGCTCACAAGTTTAACCAATGTTTAATATCTTCGCGACTGCGATCACTTTTCACAACTTGGTCAGCTAGGCTTGCAGCCAAAAAGTGGTTTGAAGTGTCAAGTGTTAAATATTTAAAAACAGCAACACACTTAGTCAAGGTGATTCCGTATGTGACAACACTGTGTTTATTTATGTGTATGATGGTGGGTATATAAAATGTGTAATTTGTACTATGAAGGAGTAGAGTTAGTATTTCAGCTGTATGTGTGTAGATGATGTTGAAAATGTATAGAGTTAAATGTGGTTGTTTGGAGAAACATTCCAGGCTGGATGCATGACTAAGCCTCTTTTCCTATTGAGGGAAGAGGGACTTAGCATAATATCCAATGTTTCAACTGCTCTCCTCTCTCTATCTGGAAAAACCTTTCTACATTATTTTGACATTTTCAATATATCGATTTGGTGATTATTAGGAATAACATGTACTGCTATTCACGATATAATTTCCACGTTCTTTATCCCTACGGGACTATTATGTCTTTTGTGTGGCTTAGCTGTTCCTTGATAAGAGTCAAGATCCCACAAGAAGACTCTCCGATATAGAACGCATCACATCAACACAACACAATCTGTACACACGATCTTGTCTAGATGTAAACGGGATCTCATCTTTCGTTCCAAATTAAGAGTTTCATGGAGTATTGGTTGTTGTTTTTTCTTCATAGAAAGCTTCGATTCTGTGTTTTCAAGATCATTCGTAATTCTCCAATCGCACCTTGGCGATAAGGCAAATCCACAGTACCAATAAAAAATCTTCCATTAAAACGGTCATTTACATATGGATAATTTCGTTTAAAAATGTTTTTCATAGTATTTATAGGACAATTATCAGATCGTAAGCTGTTGATTATGTTGTCTTTTCCCTTCATCTCGCCCTTCATGTATATAGTTAGATTTAGATTTCCACTAGGATTTCTTTTAACCAAACAGTCTAAGAACAGTAATTTGCTATGTTCATCTTCCTTTTAGAATGTAAATTTGATGTTTGCTGAGAACATATTTATCAGTTCAAAGAAATTTCTCAGGGGAATTCTCAATGACGACAAATGTGTCATCTATATGTCTGAGCCTGATGCGTGGTCTGATGCCAATGGCAAAACTAACCGACTAAATATGGAACATAAATAAATTAGCAACAATCCAAGATACTGAAGATCATATGGCCACTCCACTTGTTTCTTTATTCAAAGTCCCACTGAAAGTCAACAGAGTTGAATTCAAACATAGATTGAAGGATTTCATGATTGAACTAGTGTTTAACGAACATCACAAAAACATGATTATTTTGTCATTATATTCTACGCCTGTTCTTTATCGACTGATAACTGTTCAATATGTGAATATATACAAATAATGGAAAATACTTGTCACTAGATTTACGTATCTTCAAACTGGCATCTATGAGCTCTACACTTGATTTGAAAAACACTCCAATCTCCGCATACACATTGTCTCATCAGTAATATCGCAATTTTATATCGTATTATATAGAAATTATACACATTAACTCAACAGACTTTATCACCAGTGATAAGTGAACAGGCACACAAACACTCAGAGTTCTCAATTACTTACATGATAAAGTTAAAATTACACAATTAACTATGAAATAGGGGTTCGAAAACATAACAGGATTTATGCTGTTTTGTCACTTGACAATTTCTAACTTATTTACAACCTATCTAGCTTATTTGTCTAGTCAGTCAATCCATTGGTTAGTCTGTTAGTTGCCTACTTTATTCGCCCCTCTATGTATGACTGGTATACTCACCAAATAAAATAAACGAACACAAACAACCACTTGTTAGGCGTTAACAGAATCATAAAACACTCCTGAAACATTGTAAGTGTGCACAAATAGAAAAGAAAGCGTCAGGGGTGTCAACATTTCATCGTTGTCCTGTGTAACAATCACAAGGAAAATAAATACGCTCACTAAAAAAAATGTTAGTGGTCAGTAACTGATACGTTATTCACTATGCCAAACACACTGAAGAATCTCAAGTGTATGTGAGGGATAACTTCGGAATCTACAAAACACTGACAACTAAACTGCCTTTCCTATTCCGCTACACACCCAATCACAAACACGAACGCAATCAGTCGAACGCATACATAAGGATTTTGGTTAGTTCAGTGTGAGTAGCAATAGAAAGCTAAGCATAAGTGAGCAACACACTTCACACCATCAGGGTATTAGAAAGGAGATTAATCAAATCGTGAGTAGGTTGATGCATGTGTAAAGTTACAATAACATGACGTACACCTGTGGTACTTTGAAACGAATGCTTTTTAATCCGTAGACGACGTTTACGCTCCTTGTCTAAAACTGTCACAGGATTGTCAATGTTGATCTTGGAACTCGACAATTCAGTCGACCCATGAGCGACGAAGGAATGAATACTTACAGAACGTTTCACATGATGACTTGAATACAGAATATTCTACAGGTGAAAATGTGGAAAGCACACAAAGACAAATAACTCTGCACCTATTAGAGTAAACTACACAAAGTCATACATCCATCCTCAAAAGTCACTATGTCGAACTTACTCATTCACATTTAAAAAATTCATACACACAAAATCAACCACAACTAACTATTAAGCAACAGATCGTTACCTTCAAATCATATTTCTTGTGAATCGCAAGTCTTGGGCTGAACACATTCCTCATTACTAAGATATACGACTCTTGATCATTCACTGTAAGTCGATAAAGTCCAAGAAATTGAGGAAGCAGTGTTTGACCGTGTCCTTTGACAATGTACTACAAGAAAGAGAGACACACTAAAGGATAACAATCAATCAGGCGGCATGTCAATAACAAACGGTAATCGAAATTCGAACCACACTGAGAGCAACACCAGTTCAACATTTAATTGTTCGACATTCTGACATTACTACAAAAGCAAGTTTCTATTCGATGCACAGTGGAACAATCTGGTTTCTAAAATGTGAACACCTGAAGTTTGCTTTCAGAACAACCTCTGTAACCACTAAAATATGGTAAAAGGATAATGCACCAATGTAGGTGAGAAATACTAGGACAAGGAAGGATCCGATCATCTCATGACACTGTAAACATTGGAATAACAGAAATGTAACTAGATAATAATATTCATGGTCAATCATTTACAAATAAAATTGTACAATAATCTCCATCTGCAAGAATCTAACGGATGATCATCACGTAGTTGAATCGTTTGGCGGACAGTCTATAATACTTAATCAGCTCAATAAGTAACTAGTCGATGCATTTTGTAAATCTTCCAAAATGAACGTGCTCATGTTAAGTAGATCGAAAGTAAGAGAATATGTTGAAAACTTACACCAATCAGTCAGTAATTATTGGTTTCTATCACATAACGTAACACTGACTTCCTATCGCCTAACTACTAGTTAACTGACTTCTACAGATCATCACAAATCACTCATAATAAAAATTGATGATAACACACACTCAAACATTAATTTTGCCAACAGGAGTTTGTTCAACTTTTAACTGGATGCACTATTAAATCCCAACATAGTAACATCCGACGACCAAAACCAGTGCTCCACTGTTGTATCAGATTAAATACCAACCAAATAATCCACTCTCCAGTTAGTATAGAAAACACTTACAGAATAATATTCTTCTAACATTTGATGCATTTGTTCAACTTCTTCTGAACTGATTGTTTTGGCCACAAATTGTCGATTATACGTGACTAGAAATTTCGATCCAGATTTTCCACGTGTACTATCCCACAATGGTTGGTGTCTGGTGAAAGAGTCCTGAAGTACAAATCAGAAGTAGAAGAACTCTGTATACTAATGACAAATAACCAAATGCAATCTATTCATGAGCACTGTTCGTGATGACCAGTGGAGAATTGGTCGCTCTGAATAGGAATCGACATATTCGACGCCTGCAGTAAATACAGTGTTATGGAACTCTGGATTCGTCAACACTATTCCATCTAAAAGTGGATACTTACAATGCTCTAGTTTGGTTGACATTCATCTTGCACTACATAGTGCACAACTAAATGCTAAACAATGAGAACAGTTTCCTAACTACACTCTATGCAATGATCACTTGATACAACGACCTACTTACACCATTGAGTATCTGAATACACACCCAGTACAGTTAACATATAAACCGATGAACACTAGTTGACATTCTGGCCTCTTTCATCAAATGCTTCACCAACGCGTAATGTAGCTCCCATTTAAAAGGCTACCAATTATCAGAATATATTAAGTAACAAATCATATCACTCTCGCCAATCCAGGTTCAATTACTGTTCGTTGTGTCTTTATTATCAAGGGCAAGCATTCATGTATAATTAGGACTCAGTCAACAAATACCAAACGAACCACTAATTTCCTTTACAATCTAACAACAATAGTTTTATGATGTTGAACCCAGTTAATTCAATGTTGGACACAACCAATCAATCAATTCTACATTGATATCACCAAACAATACGACTAATACAAAAGAGCTAGGATGGAAAACGGTACAAGATAATTTTAAAACACATCATATGTTGTACTGTTGATTGATAGAAACACACAAAATTCACTCAATAAAAGTAAAAGCTAGAGAATAGACATGACATTTGAAAACATGTGAACAATATTAAGCACTGACAACTACATATTTGCAGTCATGTTGTTGGAGAAAGGATAATAAGGCAACTGTTTAATTGTTGCAAGTATTGCCTCTGTAGATCATTATAAATCCATTTCGATCATAAAAGTTCATCCACACACTCACACAACTAATAATGCAACTCATGGACGTGTTCTCAAAATCGAGTGCAGTTTATTGTCCGAGTGACGATCAGGATTCTAATCCTGTACTCACCCTGGCTGGTGGGGAAATAGAAGTAGTCGAAAAGTTTGTGTATTTAGGCAGCTGCATAAGTGCTGGTGGTGACGTGAGTGATGAGATCAATACACGTGTAGTGAAAGCCAGAGCGGCTTATGACAATCTGGGCCATATTCGAAGCCTTTGTGATGTCAGTCTGGCTGTAACAGGTCGGATCCACAACGCGTCGGTGAGAGCAGTTCTGCTCTATGCTTGTGAAACCTGGCCTCTCTGAGTTGAAGATGTGAGACGACTCTGTGTTTGATCATCGTTGTCTCCGAAGGATTGCTGACATTCAGTGGCAACACCATGTCAGTAATGCAGAGGTTCGGCATCATGTGTTTGGGCACAGAGATGATAATTCAATTGGTGTCACCATCTTGAAACACCGACTTCGGTGGCTTGGACATGTGTTCAAAATAATAAATAAATAAATATTGTCTGGGCGATCCAAATACTGAATGACTATGTAAACTAGAGTAGATGGTGTGTGGTCTGAACTTACAACTTAGCAGTCAGACACTCCAATTAACTTAGCACAACCACAAATCCACTATCGCATAGGTATATTTACAGAGAAATGACTGACAATAGCATATTACTTTAAAACGTCAGAACTTAAAACTTAAAAGGTGAAATCAATAAGGTGAGAATAATGGCGTTTGGACTCTTCACGTGCAAGATTTATTACAGATTACCAATCAAAGTTGTCCACCAAACTCATCACAAACAAAATGTAATTTCATAACGATTAAATACTAGACAAAACTCAGTATGTGCAAGTTATGAATCTCTAGCACCATTCACATGTAAAAAGAAGGAGATATTACCATCAACACATAAATCAACTCCAAACCACCTACCCAATAATCCATCTTGTCAACTCCAAATCGATCTCGTAATGACTTGAACACCATTGGGCAGTACTCCTTAAACTTGAATCTACTAGGCATATTCTCTCTAGAATCACATTCGTCAGCATAAGTCCACCATGAATACAAGAAAACTTACTTGTTGAAATGGTGGTTATTAACCTTCACTTTCATATATGCTTTGAAATCGTCTTTTAATAACAGTGCACGTTGCTTCACATGATTTAGAGCGGAAAACGAATAATTTATGCCCCACATCAGTACACTTTTTAATGGTTCATTGGCTCGAAAAAGTTTTAACTTCTGTTTCATGATCCTCACTTTCTTGTGTTTAGACACGGTGGCCATTATTCAAAGATGACAAATGTTTGGAACGACAACTTAATGATTTAAACAGATTCTAAAAAGTCGAGGAAAGAGAATGGGCTAAAAATCACATACATATGCAATCTGAGTTTAAAAATCTAGAACTCAAAATCGTAGGGTGACATTAAATGTTATTAGATATTTGGCTGATCGATTTTATTTGCAAGAATAGTGATATAAAAGAGTCGCTCTATATGCAGTTCTTCAAACCACCTTTACATGACATATGTTGAGGTAAATTTGATAAATAGTTACATACCAGAAAAACGACAAGTAAACCAACAATGGGAGCCTGTAGAATCTCAGTTCGGATTTAAACGCCTATGTCTTATCCTTACTATTTAATAGCACAAATGCACTTTCCATATGTTAACTACATAAATTGATTAACAATAAGCTGCATGTCTGTTGAGGATACCCACCTGTTTTTTGTCTCTGTAGAAGATTCGGTCTACTTTTACTTATTCTGATTATCTTCGAATGAAGCCGGAATTTCTGCATCAATATTTTAAATTCACGGCCAGATGATTTTGGAGTAACCCATTATGACTTGAATAAACTTCATTTGAGAGAATAACGTAAAATGACCACGTCCAGAGAATCTACAGATATATGGCATCCCTGTTATTTTAAATCCTTCACACACCTCCCCCCAAATGCCCTAGTATGGCCGAGAGCGGGATGGGTTAGCCCTCCCTCTCGAAATACTCTCACACGGCTACGCGTATACAGCCTCTGACAGGGAAGTCCTACTCACTGCCTTCTCGTAGCGGGAATGTTGTTAACGAAAATGAGAGGACGAAAAGCGAATGTCCGGCGCATTAACCGGATCCCAAACCAAATCAATGGTGCACATGGGCTACAGTATCCAGTGGAAACAAATGGCGTATGTACCAATTTTTGGTCACCAGCTACCATGGGACTGCATCTCCTTACGATGCTCCACTGCCTTGTGGGTAAGACCTTTAAGTCAAAGGCTCGGAGTGTGGCCCCCTAAGAAAACCACCTGCTTTGGTTTGGTCACCCGGGAAGTATCACAGCTCAAACACAAATGATGAACTGTCTATATTTATGGAATAATCAGTTGGCAATCAATGTCCGTAGGTATGGTATGTGCTTCACACCTTCGAAGTACAAAGTACTTCTACAAGACTGGCAGGAGTCCAATCCTGTACTCACCCTAGATGGTGAGCAGATAGACGTAGTCGAGAAGTTCGAGTATCTGGGTAGCTGCATAAGTGCTGGTGGGGGTGTGAGTGATGAGATCAATACACGTGTAGTGAAAGCCAGAGTGGCTTATGCCAATCTACGCCATATTTGGCGCCTTCGTGATGTTAGTCTGGCTGTAAAAGGTCGGATCCACAACGCGTCGGTGAGAGCAGTTCTGCTCTATGCTTGTGAAACCTCGCCTCTCCGAGTTGAGGACGTTAGACGACTCTCTGTGTTCGATCATCGCTGTCCCCGAAGGATTGCTGACATTCAGTGGCAACACCATGTCAGTAATGCAGAGGTTCGGCATCGTGTGTTTGGGCACAGAGATGATAATTCAATTGGTGTCACCATCTTGAAACACCAACTTCGGTGGCTTGGACATGTTCTACGAATGTCGTCCCAGAGAATTCCACGTCGTGCATTATTTGCCGACTCTGGGACTGGTTGGAAAAAGCGGAGAGGTGGTCAGTGCATGACATGGTGTCGTGGTATGAAAGAAAGCTGCAAAGGACTGGCTTCTGTCTGTCCTTCTCGACTCCCTAGCTGGGGTCCGAGAGATGGTGCAACACAGTAGCTAAAGACGTTATCATATATGGCTCAGAATAGAAGCCAGTGGCGATCCTGCTGTAACCTTCTTTTACTTTCTTCATAAAAAGTGGTTGTGTCTCCCTTACTTGAAAGATTTCTGATTGTACCTTTCCCTCGTTACTACCCCACTACCTTACACCAATCTCTTCGTTATCGTTCTCTTTTTCTTTTGTGCTCCTTAGTTTTTTTTTCTATTTCACTTCGAATTTTCATTGTTTTGTTCGGCGCATATATATTGGCGCTCTCTTGTACCAATATTTATGTGTTCAAAAAAATAAATATTGAATAATTTTACATAACATTACTGAACTTTATCATAGGTTAGTTATTTAGCTAATCACTTTCTGGTTTCGAGACATCATGGACTACTAATAATCAGTTTAAAACATCGGGTGAGAACCGCTGTGGTTGAGTGATCATACCACTACTAGCTGTAGCTTATCTGGCCTAATTTTAATGCTTGAGAACTCCAATGTTAATGCCACATAGCCCTCCCAATATATAAGTTCTGGCTGTTTCATACTTTGAACGATAACTCAAATTGATCTAGGCTATTCTATGAGGAAGAACTAGTTCGGAACAAGACCATTCACAGCATATTTTCTAGACAGTACTTTTGCAGTAATTAACATTTATTTTCGTTATTGAAAATTGTTCTGATTACTAGGAGGACCGATGCATCGCATAGCTTGATATTAAAAGGTGAAGATGAAGTTTAAGTTAAAACAAAAATCCTAATTATGACAGTAGATAATTTTTTTAAAAACAATTCTACACTACTTCTCCAAATAACTACTAACATACGATAACTGCAGCGGAATACCCAAACAACAGGTAAGTTCAGGATGAAGGATGTAAGTAGTAAGAATGTCACATGACTGCTAAAAATACTACAAACCAATGAATGATGTTCACCACTTCTGTGGCGTTACTGATAAGAAGACTGGTAGCACTGATTTGTGAAAGGAGGAAGATTATAATAAGTAAACGTGAAATTAACTCGTATCGCCATATAGAAAATTTAAATTTAAATGAATAAAGAAAAAACGGCTGAAAAATTGGACACATTCTTATTAAAGCAAACAGGGAAGCCTTATGCAATAGATTAGCTACACTAGATGCTGCATAAATGTAATCCTTAAAAGGACCACCTTGTTTTCTAACGGAATGTTCTCTTTGTTTCACTACGCTGTGAAAGAATGAAAGAATTCTCCAAAATCTTGTAGTTTTCGTGTGTGGCTATGTACAAATAGCTGTCAACTGAAACATTTTAATGTCTACTACTTTCTATCAGCTTCTCAAGGTCAAATGTCCTCTTGAATTCAGGCCCTAAACTCTGAATGATCTTTGCTCTCAATCCGCATAACCTTATTATGATAGCCACATGAAGCTTATTACTTGTGATTATCGGTTTAACAAGTTCTAAATCAACAGAGAGAACTACCATACTTCGATAGTAGGACGGCCTGACCTTGATTTTTCAAGCGTTCGTAAAATAGCAAAAATTCATTCTTCAATGGTTTAAAGGCATGGGCAGACTCAGATTATCGGTGTGAAGTTTCACCGAGAATGATTAGTCTCAAATTTAAACGACTTTATGGGCCTATTAACAGATATATGAGTGTGTGAGAACAGTCCACAGTTTTTGGTTGAGATCAAGAATTGATCAATGTTATGCCACCATTAAAAACCTGAAAGCACTGGACGACCTTTTCGTTCTGATATGGGACTCTTCATCAAAGCATATCAACGATCCCACACACGAGATTCAAACATAGAACCTTCGGTCTCGCGCATGAGATGTAATTTATCTGACCTAAAACGAACTTTCGAGTGAAATTATATAAATCGGTAAATTTACGTTTTTTCGTAGTAATCGTGATAACTTCAACCGTATATAATCATAATACCACCGAATTTCAAAAATATTGAGCTCAGTATTGAGATTTAATTAAACTCTTTGTGACAGCGAAAATACTTAGTAAGTTGTAATGGGGATTTTCATTTTCCTTTTATCTGGCAAACTCAACCAATTCTCCCAGTATCTTTCAAAACAGCAGGTACTTTCTCACGACCGAAATTCATCAGATGAAAGATTAGGCACCACCTCATAGCAATGTGACTGATTAGAACAACATATGTAAGCGAACACTTGTCTTCAATTAAATCGTAATCAGGCATTGCTCTAATATACATGGATATTCATACGAAAATGTTAGACTAATCACGGTAATTTTGACCAATAACCACAGAGAAATAGAATAAGTCACAACACGTAATAGGTAAAAGTACAAGTTTATAGTAGGATGACAGGTGTACTGACCGTAGTAAGAATAATAAAATACGATAACAAAAGTCATATCAATAGTTAAACATCGGAAATAGAAGGTCAAAGGTGGGTAAATGAAATTAGAATAGTCATCGCAAAACATTAATACCATTACGCAATAAAAAGTGGGTAAATAATTAGATAATAAAGAATACAAACGGAAAGACGCGAAATTTACAAACGAATACTGGATGGTAAAATACGATTAATAATAACCAAAATAAAATATAAAATAAAATAAAGGGTCGTTTGTTAAGTTATAACTGGCCACGGAAGGGATATGGGTTAAGAATTTCTTCTGTACACAAGAACTGGAGTAATATGTACGAATTCCTATGGCTCTAGCTATATGTAGGAGACGGGAACGAACTCCGTTGGGAAGTGATGAAGGTATACGATGGATCACTTGAAATGCTTCTGATTTATCTGCATTATGGCCGCTATTAATAAGATGTGCCAAGATAGAACTGCGTATTGTTTTTATCTGGCATTTTATAAATTACCTAAATTGTCTAGATTGGCTTAATATTTTCGTATGAATATTCATGTATATTAGAGTGAAGCCGGATGAAGACCTAATTGAAAACAATTGTTCGCTTACATGTGTTGTTCTAATTTTCACAATGTGAATCTTTAATATGAATGATACCATGTAATATATCTTAGTTTCGAAGATTTCCGAGATCGCCCACTGACAGTGCAGCGGTAAATAAATCCCCAAAATAAACAGCTCTGTAAGTTTTCGATATTGCATGCTGACCACATTAGTTTTAATGAACTTTTCGTGCCTATAGGTAACCCTCGTGCTATTGATAGAAGAAACCAGACAAATAGTGAATAGGTCTTTATTTCGATCTTAGAGCAGTCACAGTAGAGCGTGGGATTATCTGTTCAGACAAGCAAGGGCTTTCAACATTCAATATAAGATAATAGGGAATATAATGCTTATACAAAATAAGGAAGTGAATGAATACTTGAACAATGCTGTTTTGGCATATGATTGGTTGTTTGGAGTCAACTCTTAACCGACCAACTTATGCTGTTACATTAGCTTCCCCCTAGGATCGACTTCCGTAGGAATGTCGGTTCCATTAACCTATCTATCAAAAAACACCATGGTTCTATTTTTCATCTCAAGGGAAAATTATCAATTCGCTCAATGTTTGACTTACAATCAGTGGCAACTAACGCTGTCAGCTGTCAACGATAGTCCATGGATGTCTATTCATTTACTAGCTTGTCATCTTATTTTGTAGCATGTGATTTCTTCTACAACTATTGCTTACGGTTTGCTGCGTGCTTTCAAGAGAAAGAGTGTGAGACTGTGGAATAAGAATATCTGAGGAAGTGCCGCGAGCGGGCTACCCAACACCATGTTGGTGAGGTACAATTTGTCCATGCTCAGACCGGCTGTCAGGTGTTTACTCACTTGCCTCTTGAATCGTTCTCAAACAAAAAGTAAAGAAGAATCTGCTTCAAAGGTAATGGTGAAAACCAATCAAACCTGAAGAACTGCTCCACTACCTGCATCAGATCGAAATAAAGACCTATTCACTACTTTTCTGGTTTCTTATATCAATATCACGTCGGGCTCACCAGTTTCGTGACTATAGGTAACCCTCGCGCAGTCACAGTAGAACGTGGGATTATCTGTTCAGACAAGCAAAGGTTTTCAACATTAAATATAAGATAATAGGGAATATAATGCTTATACAAAATTAGGAAGTGAATGAATACTTGAACAATGCTGTTTTGACATATGCTTGGTTGTTTGGGGTCAACTCTTAACCAACCAACCTATGCTGTTACAGACTCACTTAACTGAAGGCGCTCGGTCATGCATCCGTACCAGATCACGAGTGGTAATGCCGTGCTCAACAACCCCTGCAATCGCTAGCCAGATTAGATCAGATGATCCTCGATATATTGACAGCCTATCAAATATATATTCCAACCTCCTCGCTTCTGTCTTTCGATTTTACATCGTCTGTCTTGGGCAAGGATATGAAGACAGTGAATGGAGGTTTAGAAGGCCTTATTATGTTGACGAGTGTACAAAAAGATATAATTTGTTACATAGTAGTCAACAGGTTAACAGCGGTTCTGAAAAGTATCAATAAGTTCAAAGTGCATGAAATTGCCTGGATTGAAGAAAGATCAATTATCAGCAGTGACAAAAGCGGTGGGTTGTGACAAAACAGCATAAGACACAAGTGAGGTTTACGAGGTGTTTTCATAAAACCAAACTTTACATGTTGAATTTGAAGAGTTTTTGATTGCAAAAAAATACCTGAACATAAGTTCACGAAAGGGGAAGGGAATGAATGCTCTAACATCACATACCCTTGGATAGCCTACCCTTTGAAATTTTTATTTGAATTGGCTGTGATATATAGAAAGGACATTGAAGGTTCAGCCAGTGGTTAGCAGAATAAAAACACTCAAACTCCATAAAAGCATCTGTGGGATAGACTGTCTTAGGATCTACGTCATATCCTGAATTCGGAAAGTGAGTTGTTAATCAAATGTGTAAAGTACAGGTGTTTAAATACCAAATACCTAGGCTTGAAGTCATGTGGTATACAAGTGTGCATTCAAAGATACATCGATGTAAGTAGACCATATGTCTGTCAAATGGGGAGTGGGGCAGAAAACTTATTTTGGTCTTTGTGTCATTTAGTTAGGAGGGCAAGAAATTTTCTAAAGTACAACCTCAGTCAGAATATCGTCCTTGATGATGTTTACTTCATCTTGTTATAAAAAATTAAAAAAATACAGAAAAACTGAGAATGGTTTTTGATTGTACTTGCACGTTTTCAGGGAGATCCCTGAATGACATGATTTATCGAGGCCCAGACACCACTGCCAAGTTAATGTGCATATTCTTACGTTTTCGCAAAAAGCGGTGGCCATCTCTGAGCATATGGAGTAAACTTTTATGCAAGTGTATGTGCCTGAGTCCAAACGTAATGTTTTCGATTTTTTATGGTGATTGGATGGTGACAAATTGGGGATTTTGCCGGATTTCAGACGACTTCATTTTCATTGAGGACCACCTTGTCTCAAGTTTGTATGAATTTCGTTATGAATAATACACCAAATGTTCTCCAGTTAGTTATTACTGTTTCCTCATAGACAATGTGCAGAATGGTTTCTGTATAGATGACTATTTGATAATTTTTTACACCTATGAAGGTTTTCAAATGAAGAATTGGATAACTAACTCGGGAAAAGTGAACTCTGTTTTGGTTGATTTACGTAGGGAAGAGTCTTTGGTTAACATGCAAGTAAGATATAACACTACTTATAGAACTTCGGGCTTAGAACGGAATATCAAACAATGCGTATTCTAGTTTTGCGTCAATGAATTAGAGAAACCTCCGATCAGACGAGGAACGTAGCTTTCCCAGTTCTCTTGCGAAGTAGATTTATATAGAGATTGATTGTGTTGTATTAAATCGAAGAATTGGAGAGTCGATACAGTACTTTTATAGCCTCATCCTTATGCATACGAAGGCTGAACAGCAGTCGTTCTACAACTTGACTAGTTAAACTTTGAAAGAAAAACAGGTGAATAAATTTGATTTTTGGATTGAATATCTAACATTGTTGGGAGATGATATTTCTAGGTCAACGACTAATTGTCCGGAACTTACCTTAGAAAAGATCGACTCGAATAGACTAACCACTATGGTCAACTTCAGCTAGATGAAATATAGAGATTTTCTTATTATGTACCATTACTCTAAACAAATTAAATTGTTCAGAGCTTCAAAGCGGTTTGAAATGTCCTTGGAGTTTTTAATGGTTCTCCATTGACTGAACGTGAAGGATCCGTTCATTTGAGATACTTAAGGGTTAATGAGCCTAAAGTCGCCGCGTGTAAGAATTTACTGATAGCACAGGAAATATATGAAGGACTACTTTGTTGAATTAGAAATGACGATACTGCTTGACAGCTTACCTTGTTTTGGAGGTCATTTCAACTACTGAGAGTTCCAATAACCGTTGAACAACATGTAGTCTTGTCCAGCCGTAACTTCGTGATCGAAATGATCGTGCGACATAATCACAGAAACGTCTCAGGTATTGATCACAATTCAAAAAATCTTCTGGATAATGAAGGGAACCAACAGTGATACAAAGGTGTAACTTGTGGACGGTTTGT